AATAGATGCTGCAGCAGGCACGAGTAACACCTTTCCAGGCACAGGAAGGAGTTTCGCACCCGAACCCTCCCACCCGTGCTGAATCCTGCCATTTTATGGTATGTCTAAAACTTCATGAGCTGCTTAGCGCAGTGTGGGAGACCACCGGCTAGTGCTACACAGCACGAGTTCGGCTGATGGCGGTGATACCCAGCGCAGTATTGTTGCTATTTCTGGGAACTTATCCCGTCTCAGTTTATACATCAATTGCACTGATGTATGCTACACATTCTCAATAAAAAATTGCTTAATAAAGTTTAATATCTGGCGCGGTCAGCCAGATGATTCCAATTAAAAGTATATCACGTGTGTGCAATATTTTCGATGTAGTGTACAAATAGAAATAAATTAGTGTAGTACACAATGCACTATTTTGGTTAGTGAAACTTTAAAGTAAAAGTTATATACTAAAAAAATTTATATAGAAAAAAATGATTGTAACTCATAAAAAAATGGGGATTCCTTTATCTAAATATCGATGGAACGAAAATAGTTTCGATATACTTTTACATTATATTTACACATTCACTGACATACCTAAAAAATTCGATCGGAAAGAAGAAATCGCAGAATTACGGCGAAATTTCTCTTCACCTATTAAGAATGAATTAAATAATGGCGAACTAAAAATATTAGATATCAGGTAATTGAACATTAATGATTCATTATTTCATAAGAAACGAATTTTATTTAATTTATTTAGTACAGTCTCCCCTCGTTAATATCAACTTCGTTAATATCAACCTAAAGCTACAAGATAAAATTTTACAAACTATTATATATTAAAATTCCCTCATATATATCAACTTTATTATATTCCCTTGTTAATATCACTATCAACATGAATTTAAACTAATTCAAATAGGTTGATATAAACGAGGGTAGACTGTACTTTTTTTGTTATGGCTGTGGTTTTGGTACTTGGTTGTTCGAGATGTCGTCAGATTTCAAAAATTGTCAATTTGTTGGAGTGGAAATGACATCTCAATTTTTAGATTTTAGTGTCAATAAGCCAAAAATGAGAATTTTCTATTGGCAGACATTACTGATGAACTTCCATATAATGACAAATCATTTGACTTTATTCACATTCGAGACTTAGTTTTTGATTTGCGAGATAAACAGCGGGATTCATTTATTCGTGAATGCCTTCGAGTTTTAAGGCCCGGAGGTTAAAATTTGAAATACAAGTTTTTACTTCTTTTTTTTTTTTTTTTTTTTTTTGCATGTTAATCTAAATATAAAATTCTTTTCTATTCAGATAACTGAACCAAAATTTGGCGCGAAGAATGTAGGCCCAGATCTTGAAAAGTTGGAAAAAAATAGTAAGAAAATGTTAATCGATATAAATTTATTACCATATTATATAAAGCTACTAATATTTTATTTGCTAAATGTAAATAGTGATTAATTTCTTTATCAAAAGGAAATAAATACATTAATCGTTGATAGAATTGAAGATATGCCGGTGATTAAATCCAATAATTTCCAAAATATTGTTCATTATGATCATGGAATAGTGATTTTTGAAACGCTTTTCAGACTAGTGCTTAGATCCGATCATCTATTTATCCGAATGTGAGTAGATAAAACACTTAATTCGAATAATTTATCTGATCAATAAATCGATAACTGTAAATCTGAATTAATCGAATTTATCTAATATGATATCTGGTTCGAAATTAAACTTATTTATCGTTATTATTATTGTTATAATCATTAAGAGCAATATCTATTAATTGCTTTTATTTTTCTTTAGAATTTATCGTTTATTCCTTAAAGATCAAATTACATTCTAATAAATTGAGCGAAACTCAATCGAAAGACTTATTTCTGTGACAAAGTGATGTCTTATTTAATAACTATAGTATAGAATAAAAATAATAATAGAAATAATTCGTGCTATAATAGTAATAAAAAAAAGTCTTACACTTTACGTGTCTGGCAAGAATTAATAAATAAATAAATAAGTAAAAATTTTTGCTAAACGTCTAAGATTAATGACCTATCCAATTAATGTTTGAGGACTCTTGCACTTATATTGAATCAACGGTTTTCGATCAGGCGGGCTGAATCCTTGACCTTATCGGCGTACAATATTGATTAAAGTTTTTAATAATATAAAAAGAAACTGTAAAAGAAATTAGATTTAACGCTAATCGTTATATTGGTATTAGATATCCAGATAATTAATTAGATAATTATCTACATATGACCGAATTGATCAGATAATTGTCTCGGTGGATAAATAATGACTAGATCTAAGCCCTATTTCAAACATTCACTATAATAAGGTTTATTAGCTCAAAAGACATTGATAGTATACTAAAAAAAATGTTATAGCAGAGGCCAATAAGTATCGAACTTATTTTAATTTACATAACTAGGCGCTTGAGTTGCTTAAAGGGAGTTAGAGATGAGTGCACTGTAACTGATATTGTATTATGCAGTACAAGGGCCTCATTAGGGATGGGTTCGGCTGGCTACGGTCGGCTATCGGCTAGCTATTATCGGTTAGCCGATCTTGGCTGGCTACGGTCGGCTATCGGCTAGCTATTATCGGCTAGCCGATCTTAGCTGGCTAGCCGCGGCTAAATAGCCGGTTATAGCCGATCAATATCTTAATAAGTGACAAAATAATTGCATATTAGTACTTAATTCGGCATGAAACTATATTGGCCGGGTTTAAATTATCTAATAAAATAGAGGAATCCATCGGTTATAATTCTGGTTAAATTTGCAGATCATTTGGCCAGATCTAGAACAAAACAATTTTAAATCCGGTCAAATGATCTGCAGATCCACAAATTATTACATGATAGTACAGTAGTAAGTACTTGTTATTTTTTTAAAAGATTTTCTTATTGTGAAGGCCGAAATACTTTAAAATATAAGCATAGGACCTGATTAACAACACATAGGCTAATAATATAATCAATTTATAAAATTACTTATATATAAAAATAAGTAATAAATCAATTTATTGTGCTAGAGAATATAAGTTTTTTAATTTTGTTGTAGGCCCGCAACCAATTAAAAAAATGACTTGTGGATTATAAAAATTTATAAGTTAGTTGTACATATAAACATAAATAGTAAAATCTATATATGTCATGTCAGATTTTTATTGCAGAATAGAGATGGCAATGGTTTGCTATCTTTGGCTAGCCATTTTGTAGCCATTGAATGTATCTCATGTTCCAGTAATCCAAATTGGATGATTTTAGTACATTCAATTTATCTCATTGAGATGAACTGAATAATGCCAAAATCATCTAATTTTGAATAATTAGAACTTGAGATACAGCTAACAGCTGCAAAACAGTTAGCTAAAAATAGCTAACTGTTGTCATCTCTATTGTAGAAGTTTAAAATTTTGTTTTAGTCCACGGCAATATGTATCTTGATAACTAATAATTCAAATAGACTTAAATTTTTATCATGGATAGGAACATTATTATTATATTATATATAAA